TATATATAAAAACCTGATATTAAAAGAATATTGTCATGTTTACATTTTGTCTTGAAGTTTCCAAAGCCTTCAACTTCTCAGACCGTTTATAGTATTTCTCCTGCTGTAATCAATCTTTGTATTATTCTATTAAAACTCACAAAGTCCTGTGCATCCAAAGTGAATTCTAATGTGCACTAATGGCTTTTACCATATGTGCAACACAGCTTCACATTCCCAGTAGCATCACAGAAGGCAATGGGTGTCTGCATTTTAATTAGTGACAGAGAGATGAAAAGATCTGCGTTTTACTTCAAAGTTTTTCTTTCATCACGCTCTTACAGGTGCTGTTTTCAGATCCAATGTTGGTCAAATGCATTTGCTTTTGAGTCAGACTTTGAAATCTGATGCTACTAACACTAATTAGTCACCTGTAGCAGAGAGGATTTTTTTTTTTAATCTTGCTGCAGAGCTGTGTGCTTTTAATCTTTTGACCATGATGCTGACCTTTCCAGAGCATCTGCATTTAGTAGAGCATTACTTATTCTTTGTATTATTATTATTATTATTACTAGGTTCTGAAAGCTTGCCAATGAGAAGGTCCTTAAGTACAAACATTTGTATTGATGCTGTTTGTGCAACACTTAAGGTGTCCGCTCGCGAGATAAACTGCAGCAGGAAGAGAAAGCTGTTAGTGCACTCATGAATTTTGTAAAATGTTGCCGAAAGTTTAAGCGTTGTTTTAATTATCAAAAGGCATCTGAAGTGGAGAGCGGGGACGCTTTGATGGAGAGTTCTGACCGACCTGTTAGAGACACAACAACATGACACAGCGACTTTGAACCTTTTCTGGAAAGTGAAGGCACAAACACCAGAATTTACTCGAACCGTGCGTGTAATACTTGCACAACTTTATCAGTCAAACCGTCTATTGCTGTAAAATAAGTCTTCGTCTTGTGTTTTAAACGGAGCATTATGCAAAGATGATGGATAACAAGGCTCTAATGTGAAAGTGAAGGGATTGCTTCTTCCAATCAAACTCCTAAAGCAGCTTTAAAAATCACTTTTTCTCACTGTTTTTTATTTTTTTATTTTTTGTCATCCTATTAAAAGGCAGGCCCAGAACTGACCAGCTAAGAGTCAGCTTTACAGTTAATGCCCTTGTGATACCCCTCCCCCTCGTTTTTCATTATCAAGTCAGGAAAATAAATTGTCTGCTTCGTGTTGGAACTGTGGTTCCAGCATCAAAACAGGCAAAGACTGCGAGGAGCACTGAGGCTTGTCTTATGTTTTAATACAAAACCAACAGCGTCCTTTTATCCTCGTCCTTTTCATTGTCTTCACCCTAAATGTTTAATGCCCTCCTCCCATCTTTGGCATCTTTTTACGCCTCAAGTAAAACACATAATTATGCTCAGTTTAGGCTGAATTACTGTGGAGTGAGATGAAAGTTTGTTGTGCAATGGAGGACATTTTTTCATGAAGACTTTTTCATTCTAATTTTATTTTTAATGCTGCTGTAAAAATGGCTCGGCAGGGAGAAACATATGCACTTGACAAGATCATATGATGAAAAGTTCAGCTCAGAAATAATTTTAATTACCATTTAAGAAAGAGTGGACTCAGTCCCAGAATCTTCAATCACTGCGCTCTGACCCCTTTCCTTCTAAATAGCCAGTTTTGCATAAAGAATAAAATAAATCATCATGATTCCCCTCTTGCACACACACCCACACACGCTTGCTTACCTTGTGTGGATATTGCTGTGATAGTGACGAGGACTATCTGTAGGATCATCCAGATCTGCCGGGGAAAGCTCATTTTGGCACGCAGCGCGGCTCGCTGTTCCGGGCAAGTGTCCATGGTCCGCGCGCTTTCAGCAGATCGTGCCGTTCATCCCGGCAGCCCGCGCTCTCATCATCCTCCTCATCCTCATCACACCTGTGGGAGTAGAAGTTGTGATGTGCTGCGCGTTTCAGGAGACACGGATCGCGCATCGAGATCCGCTCGGCGGCAGCGCTTTCGGCTGTGCGTAAAAGTTGTGCGTAAAGATCCTGGAGGAGACCACGTCTGCTCCTAGGATGAGGAAATCACGAGATAGGGTGCGTTTTAGAAATCCGTGTGGCTCAGAGGGAGTCGGTCTTTCCCCCGGTCTGCCGCCGCTCCTGTTAGCGGATCACTGACTGTCTCGTGCGCAGCAGCCTCAGGGCTCTAAACTCATCATGTGTCACGGTTCATCCGCTCAGAGCCGCGTCCAGATTAACCCTGCGTGGGGTTTACCTCTGATGTTTGGAGACACCATCAAACGTTTCCTGTAGGCTGCTTACTGATGTTGATCACAATAATAATCTTATTGATTGATACAACCAGAGTCCGCGTGATGAAAACACTTTACTGCCAAAGTGGAGGCAGATCTGATCAGCTTTACCAAAAATGTATAGGAGAAAGGGAATAGCCTCCAGATTTCATATACACACACAAATA